CTGGCGGGGAGGGGGTGGCTTGAAGGGGAGAAGACTCCAGGAGTCTGTGGTGAAGATTCGGGAGAGGGGTACAATTTGAAACTATTCCCCCTTCTTTTTCTAGAAAAACTCCCTGTCCCTGAGGGACGTCTTTGACTCAGCTGTACACCGCTCGCATGGCCCCCACCTTGGCCCGGGGCCTGGAGGGAGTCACGGAGCCCACTGGAGGCCGAGGTGGAGCCCTCGCTGCTTCTGGAGGAGACCAGTGTCCTCAGCAGCCATGGAGATGACAGGGCAATACCACAGGCCCTGAGCTGGCTGAGGCCAGAGTGCCACATCGTTCATGCAGGAAGCCGACCTGGGGACTGGATATCTGAGTGTCCTCATCTGTCCCCAGGAGTACCCAGTCAGCTTTGTTTGGATCTGTGACAGCCTTGGGGAAGATATTTCCTCCATCTCTGTTGCTTTTACCAGGCATTGGAAAGAGGAGGCACTATTGGTTGTTTAGCTAAGAAATAAACACATCCAAAATAAATGGCAGAGAGAGCCTGTCACGAGTGGGTGTCTGCAGCACTGAGTTGAATTTCCCAGCTATGCGAGAGGAGCCCCATGCTGGGACCCGCTGGCATTCACAATCTCCACAGTGAAACCCAGAGACCTCATTCATTGTCCCCATTTTCTTTCTTTCTTTTTTTAAATAGTTCCAAACACCTTTTTTAAAAATATTTTTTTATTAATTTCAGAGAAAGGAAGGGAGAGGGAGAGAGAAATAGAAACATAAATGATGAGAGAGAAACATCATTGATCGGCTGCCTCCTACATGCCCCTTACTGGGGACTGAGCCCGAAACCCAGGCATGTACCCTGACCAGGAATCAAACCCTGACCTCCTGGTTCAGAGGTCAACACTCAGTCACTGAGCCACACCAGCCAGGCCATTGTCCCCATTTTCCAGTCCCCCTGCCCCATATCCCTGAGACTCCCTCAGGTTGCCAAGGGAACGAGTTGGGAGAAAAGAGAAGAGAGGGCCTGGGCCAGGATTCCAGGGCCACTGAGTAGGCCTGTGGCACCAAGAATCCAGAGCACGACCAGGTGGAGGGTGCAGAGTGTTATGGGCCAGGTGTGTTCTCTCCCATCACAATCTGCAGGGCATCCACGTTAGCTCTAGGCCTGGGCTACTTGCTGGGCAGAAGGTGCTGGGTGGCACGCTTCTCTCAGGGCTCTCCCTTCGCAGGCAGATGGGAAGCACTTCCTATCTTACAGGGAAGGTCCTTCTAAGCTCTAACCTTTTGAGAAGCTCATGAAGGCCCCTCCCAGAAGGGCTGCACATATCCCTTCCATGGGCACTGGGTCTGGAAGGACACAGGATGCTGCTTGGGAAAGCTGAGTTGCTCCCGATTCCGTGACAGTGAGAGGGCTCCGGGCTGGCACAGAGCCCCCGGGAAAGGATGAGCAGTGCGCTGGTGTCTTCACCCCAACTTGCAGCAGTGAGAACTGCTTTGCCTTCCAACACTCACGGGGTTTCTCAAATCCAAACAGTTGCAGGTAATTAATGAGACTATGCTAAGCCACAGGCAGGCTAACCATCACCACCTCACTGAAAGGGATCCAGCAGCCAGAAGCTGAGCTGAACCCCCTGAAAAGGTGGAAAGGATATTGTGGAAGATGTGAGAATAACTGAGATGAGGCAAGGCAATCCATTTAGGGAATTAAACATGGTAAAACCCGCCTTTTCACGTTTAAAATAGTAATAGACGAAACGAAAAAGACTGGCCGCTGTTGAGAGTAACATTAGTAACCTGGCTGAGCAAGTGAGAAATGAAAGGTTATCCCTGTATGGCCACCAATGGGAAAGGGTAAGGTGGGTGGTGTGTGGGCTAAATAGCCACCTCAGATGGTGGATAAAGAAAAATTAACTTTATTAAAAAGGGATAGGAGCCCTGCTGGGCGTGGCTCAGTGGTTGAGCGTCGACCTGGGATCCAGGCGATCAGGGTTCGATTCCCGGTCAGGGCACATGCCTGGTTGGGGGCTCGATCAATGACTCTCTCATCATTGGTGTTTCTATTTCTCTCTCTCTCTCCTTTCCTCTCTCTGAAATCAATAAAGATATATTAAAAAAAAAAAGGGATGGGATATCCAAAGGGAAGGCTACACAGCACTGCACTGGGCCAAAGGGCACTGGGTCCATGATGGGAGCAAAACTATACTTAGGACAGTGAGACAAGGAAGGTGCGCGGAAGAGGCAGCAGGAGAGCCCAGGCGGGCGGCTCTGGCCACTGAGACGGCAGAGAGAGAAGGGGCCTTGGGGCAGGGTCAGGGGTAAGCCTGGGACGAGCTGCTGCTGCGCATTGCTCCTCTGGTTGCAAGTCTTGTGGGGTCCCCTTCGGAGGGATGGAGATGGCACTGGCATGCTCCCCTGGTGGGGAGGGCACACTGGGTCCTTTGTCCTGAGTGTATTTATCTCTTTCTTGCAGGTGGGAATCTTAGAGGAGTTCTCAGGGGAGGGCCTCAATAGAATATTCATCAGCTTTCCAGGGGTGCTCTTTCAGGGTCGTGGTCTCCAGGGTCGATGCCAGGACAGGGGGTCATTAGTCAATGTAGCTGGTCCTGAGGCAGCCACAGAATCACTTGTCTGGTTTTGCTGCTTTTCTGGGCCTGGAGCAGAAATACAACTGAGGCCTAGATGTTGTCTTTAGGGAGGAGATGCTCATGGGTCTAAACTGCAAGACCAGCGATATGCTGGGGGAGGATGGGTTCCCCTGGGTACGAGGTTCTTGTTTTCCCAGCTTTGTCCCTTGCGAGGCATCCGGGGCTTCCTGCCCTGAGGAGTCTCTGTACCTGGCCCATCTAACAGGAAACATAGCTCAATGAGACACAATCTTCACAGATGAGAACCACCAGAATGTGCGGACGCTGGACAACAGATTCAGGAGAACCATGTGGGAGTAATAGGCTCAAAACAGAAAAAATGGGAAATGGATGAGAGGAAGTGAGAGAATGGTAGAGGAGGACTGGAGTGCGCAGGCCCAAAGGGTTCACTACCTACAACTAAGAACCAGGGTCTTGCCTATTCGAAACAGGTGAACTATATGGTATGTAAATTATATTTCAATAAAGTTATAAAAATATTATACAAGGCATTACAAAATTTGTGTAAATATTAAAATTTTGGCTTCTAAAAATAAACAACAAATGATTCAGAGCAATGGGCACTTGGCCACGGAGAGAGATGAAAAGGGAGGAGACCATGGGGAACAATTTATCTTGTGATTAATTCACTGGTTATTCTGTAAATACCTCACTACTCCCAGAAACCAGAGAATGTTTGCAGTTAGAAAGCTTCGTTACTCAGCTTTTGTCATGGAATACATTCCCGAGAATGAGAACACTGATGTTTGAACCGGCGAAGCCCCAGCTCCGAGCAGCAGCCGGGCGTGGACAGGAGAGGCCTGAGCTTTGCTCCCTCCCTGGCTCGCTAGGTCTCAGTCACTCTGGCACAGTGATCTTCGAACAAGTCTGTCCTGTGCTCTGGGAGGTGCATGGAGACTGTATAAAGAATATTATGTGTGTGTGGGATGTTTTACAGGAATCATTTTCCAGATCTTCAACTTCCATGTACATGTATTTGCCTAAAATTGATGGGTCTGAAGAGACCTCCGTGGCCAGAGCACCGGGCTAGGTATGCTTTTCTAGCACAGCCACCTGCCCTTTCCTTTCTGGCCCCTATTATTATGGAGCAAATGAAGGGATACCTCGAAAGTCTCTATTAACTTAGGCATCATGTACCCAGGGCAGGCTTCATGCTTCCCCTGCCTCGTACAAATTCCTGTTAGGGGTTAAATGGCGTGTAATAAACCAATAATTTTGGGACATATTAAGATGTTATTCTTTCAGATATATTGTAGAATGAAATGCAGGAGTAATAAAACTTCTGTTTAACAAACTCTGCTCTCCTGTTCCTGTGGAAGAATATGCCCCTGCTGAGGGCTTGCCCAGGACTGAAAGCGAAGCCCAGGCAGCTCCAGTGACCAGCAGGGAGGCAGCCCGCCTGTGCCACCCAGGCCGGAACCACCGCAGGCAGCCGCCTTATCCGCCCGTCTGCCCATTTCAGAATATCCAGAATTTGTCAAAATTGCTGGGAGCCAGCAGCTGATACGAAGCCCAGGCTTGTGCACCATTCTCTGTGAGGAGATTTGGTCTAGGTCACAGATGTATATTTTGCGCAATTTCACAAAGAAAGATATTACTAGTTCCACATTTACTTCCAACTGATTAATGTTACATCTTGAGAAGAAAGGGGCACAGAAAGGCCTTGCAGATGTCAGCTGAGAGCACGGGGTGAGGAACTGGCACTTCCGGTTTCAAATCTAGACTCATCGAGACCTCACACAAATCCCGTGGCTCCCCCAGACCTCCGGGTGCTGGGCTACAAAGCCAGGGGACGAGCCCGCTCGGTCAAGTTGCCTTGAAGCCCTTAGAGTAGCCCTGCCATGGGAAGACTCTATAATTGTGTTATGATTTTTATATTGGGTAGCTTTGTGTTTCATATTTTTTTGAAAATATGGAAAAACGTTTCATAGAAAAAACATTTTCATTTACTTTCACCAAAAGTTTATTGAGGACTGTAAATTTTGCAGTTAAAGCCACAGGAAAACTTGAAAAGTGTCTGAACGTGTCTCTTGGTGTAGAAAAGCGTCCTCAGAAACATCTTATAAGCAAAAAATATTACGGTTGAATACGGGGCAGCAGTGTGTCGGAGAGCAGGAGGAACCTTCCCCCGGCCAGGGAGAGCTGCCGTGTGCCCCAGCACAGCCTTCTCACCGCAACACCTTTATTTCCAAGATGCTAGGATTTACACTTTAAAAATTATTAAATTTTTGACAAAAAATTTAGATTAAACATAAGCCAATAAGGGAGTATGTAGTCTTTTCCTATGCAAACGGCGGTTCTGATATTTGATGAAGCCCAAGCAACATCATGAGAGACCTTTGCCTCCAGTCTGGGGTGACTACGGCCATCAGGGGCCCACTTGATCCAAGGTGGGTCACAGCGAGGTCATGTTGGTTTGTATTTCACAGAAAATTTCATTTCTTTTGTTTAGTTTATTTTCTGACAACTATGTCACATGGGAAGGCAGCTTTGAGCCTCCGTGTAACGACAAGTCTTCTTGAATTGAGGATGCGGTTGAATTCGACAGAAGGCAGGCCCCTGCCCAGCGGGGAGGCTGAGGGCCACGCAGCAGGATTCGGCGGCGCAGGCATTTTCTAAGTAAAACTTCCAGCACAAGAGGTACAAGGATGAATTTTAAAACCA